GCCCTGCCATGCTCAGCATGTGTGTATTTAAAAAAATGTTTATCTAAAAAGTTTTAAGAGCAAGTATATATGTATTTATATATATATGTATATATACATGTACATATATGCATATATAAATACATATATATACACGTATTTTAATATATAAATATATATATAAAAATATATATATACACACTTGCTTGGATCCCCCAAATAGGTACTTGCTCATTTACAAAGATATGAGATGAAGCAGCTCTGGAGCTGGAGCAGGCAGGGGGACATGCTGCCTGCAGGAGGTGACAGGACCTTGGGGAGTGGCTCACCCAGCTTGCCTGGGCTCAGAGCATGCAAGTTGGCAAAACTGGCAGTTTGTAGATCCTGTTTGTGAGCTGGGAATGATTGTTTTCAAAGCCAACATGGAAAGGGTGTGTATGTCCAAACTGTTAACCTGTAATTATGCTAAAACATTCAAGTTTAAACAGATAATATTCAGGGAACTGACTAGAGAGAAGGAATTAAAGGCAAGCACTGGTACAGGGATTCAACACCAGCTTCTGGAAAATTGATACTACTGCTTCACAAAATGACCATTGGAAAAAAGATCATGCAAGTAATGGGTTTAGTGCAACTTTCAGCCCCATGTAGCATACTGCAGGGAAATCCCTGAGCAGAGAGAGCATGACTTTTCTAAGTTCTTAAAAGCAAGAATTAAATTCAGCACATAAGAGAGCTCTTAGTACACTAGCAAGTTGGTAATTGACAGCCACAACTGTGACATCCATTGTGAATTAATTAATCCTTGCAAATCAGGAAGTGATTAAGTATTAAAAAATCCAAGTTACTTCACTGGGGAAAAAAAAAAAAGGTAGTGAGAAAGGCAAGTATTCAGGTGCTGTGCCAGGAAGGATGGACACAAATGGGATGCTGGGCTTTTTGCTGCTGGTTTGAGGCCAGGGTGCCCTGCAGCTGAGATTCAGCTCCTGTCACCTCCATCCTGAACCAACAAATGAGCAAAGTGGGGAAAAATAATACGTCATACCATGAAATTAATCCTCCTCCTCTGTTTTTCTTACCTTTTTGCTTCTGTTGACAGTACCTTACACAGAGCCCCTGTGCCCCGTGTGGATGCTGGGCCCTGTGTAGCAGCAACTGGCTCTCCAGGGCCAGCTGCCATCAGCTCTCCTTGAGACCAAGGCTGGGTGGAGACAGGGAGGCTGCCAGGACCACCACCAGCTCCTGAGGTTCAGCTAAAACCAAGGCTGGGCCAGTGTGTCCCTGTGAGAGCATCACATTTGCAGGATGTCATCCACACCGGGCTGGTTTCCTTAAGAGAGCAGTGACACAAAGCATGGTAGGAAAGAAGGGAGCACAGAGGCAGAAATAACCCTGGTAACCCTCAGGCAGGCCACCACCTTCCTACCAAAGGGAAGGAGGTCCTCCCTGCCACCTCCATGGCCAGCTCACTAGGCACGACATGGACCATCTGAAAAAACAGTCTGAGTTTTCTTGCCAGCTGCCTTGGCAAACATACAAAGAGGAAAAATAGTATAACCAACCAGCAGTTTATGTTTGAATGGGGCACAGGTGTGGAGTGGTGTGATTCACAGCCCAGAGCCCAGGTTCCTGATCCCTCACAAAGGCTTTGGGGAGGAAACATTAGGACTAATAGCTACTCAGTTATGCTGAAAATCTTCTACTTAAAGTTTGAAAGACAAGAATCCTGGGTCTTTCTGTGGACTTTGGACCAAGCCAAAGTGGCTGAATTTAATCACTCAGGTTTCGCAAGTGCCTCAGACTGTTCCCAAAACTGCATTTCACCTGTCACTGGCTGAGGGTGTGCTCTGCAGGTTCTGGAAACCTTCTGCAAAGAAACATCTCTGGGTGAGCATTTTATCTTTCAATTCATTCAGTTAATACAGAATGAACAGACTCACACTCCCCCAAAAAACTATTTGGAGTAGAAAGCGCAAATACATGTAATTGTAATAGATATCAACTTGTTGAGTTTTTTCCCTCACAGGGATGCTACGATTTACACTCAATTCAAGGTGCCATTTCAGAATGAAAACACATTTTAAAAATACTATTGCAAATCACAAGAACTCAGGGTGGCATGTAATGATTGTCAGAAAAGGAAAACAAGTGCCAGAAGAATCATAGGAAAATAATCCATTGCAAATTCCTTTCCTGGACAGAAAGAAGAGCAATACATCATTCTGCAGAACCATGTCCTTTTAATAAACTTTGTGTAACCCTGGAACAATTGGAAGTTATCTATAAAGCACAGTATCCACCCCAGCAAGAATCTACTACTAAAGCCCAAACCAGATTTCCATCAGTGTGGTAAATATGAAAGGAAATAACAGAAGTCACCCTGAAAACCAGCACTGTAGAAGAATGTATTTCCTGAGTTGAAAAGAGAAGGGAAAAAAAACCAACAGCCAAGTACATCCATTAATTCAATATAACTGTAAGCAAATACATCTAACAAAGCCCAAATCATGCAGGAAAGACATGAGGCTGTGAACACTGGTGAAACAATTAAAAGGATATTCCATATATTGGTAGGAGCTTTTAGGTTTTGTCCTTTTAATGTGCCTGGATGACCATCCTTCCCATGAGCCAGCTTCACTCCTGGTGCCTGTGCAAGGGCTACTTGCCACATAACGCTTTCCCAAGGCTTAGGGAGAAGAGAGGCTGAACTACCTCAGAGATACTGGAGGAACAATCTCTACCAACTTGAGTTTACCCACCAATCTCTAAGGACTGCTTTTCCTTGATTGCTTCTCAGCACTTTTATTCTCCCACTTCTACTGGATCAATTCTAAACCAGAAAATTATTGAAGGAGAAAGGGTTTTCCCTGCTTATACTGTTAGGTGAAGGTTGAGGTCAGGGAAGGGGAACTAGAAGCCCACCTGCTGGGGATCTGGCTTCTTGTAGTGACTCCTCCTCAAGCTCAGCACTACCAAAACAACTGGTGAAGTGTTTGTTGTTGTTTTTTTTCAGATGCTTTCCCCATTCTTCTATGTTTTAAAGAAATTATGAACCAAGTTTGCTAACTCACTTCATATTTAAGTAGCACCTGCTGAGCTTTGAAGCCCTCACCCTCTGGATAGCACTGCTATGCTCTTCACCCCTTCAAAGGACTTTACAGAAACAAATTAATTTGTTCTTACAGCAGAAACCTGCTGCAGTGAACAACATGGACTTAGTGCTGCTGTTCAGTTGGATTCAGTCTCAGTCACTGTGGGGTTGAGCTAACTCAGGAGCCGTTGCCATCTCACTGGATACTTTAATGTGTCAAGCCACTCCAGCAAATAACATGCAGGGACCTTCCCAAAGCTTTTCTGTGCCTCTCCTTCTTCTCCCAACGGGATCTCTGGCTCCTGAGAAGGAGGGCACTCCAGAGCTCTGCCTGTCTCCACCTTCACAGTTCGGCACTGGTTTGGGGCAGGGCTGAGCTGCTTCTCCCAGCTCAGTGAGATTCACCTACAAAATGAATTAACATTCTACTCCAAAATTTGTGCCTTCTGAAAATCTTCTGTGTGCAGATGTATGCATGTGTCACTGTCTGCATGTCTGTACCAGGAACAGGGAGATGGGAGGAAACACCACCTTTAAAACACAACCAAACATCACAGGTATTTTTCTGGAAAAATCCTTGGGGAGCTCCTGTTGGTCATGGCCTCTTCACAAAAACCATGACAGAACATACCCAGGGCACAGCTCCTAATGTTAAAAATAGACAAGAAAGAAAGAAATTGTTGTGACAGTGGGAGTTTTTGTTATTGTTTTTACATACCTCATTATGGAGAAGCCGAAGCAAGTGCAAGCTCTGGTTTTCCCCTTCACAAACCAGCCCATGGAGCATCAACTACCTTCTTGCAGGTCCTGGCTGCTCTTCACCCCATGGAGCTCTGGTTGTCCTTCCACAAAGTGACTGTGCCCTAAGAGCTAGCAGGACTTTCTACACCCTTGGATCCTCCAAAAGAATAAGCAATCCCCATTCCTTTAAAAAAACACAGTTTCCTAGATATATTTGAAGAGGGGAAAAAATTACAGAAATTAAAGAGAGAGAGATGGTTAAAACTAGACAGTATTTATAACACAGAAAGGGGTATAAACCTTTTTGCTTTAATAGATAAAAATTTAGATTAAAACATACAGATACAAAAATATTAGCTTAGAGAGCAGGATGTGATTTTATGTACAATCCAGGATGCACTTGGCTCACAAAGACCAGCGACCCCATGGCTCATGCCTTCCCATTCTAAACCCTTGTGTTTCTGCTGTCCCAGCAGCAACCAGGCTGTGCTGAGGCTGAACCGGCCAGTGCAAAAAAAAACCCCAGTGAATGTTTCCTCACTTCCTGGGGTGCTGCAATCCCAGCCCTGCAGCACCAGATCTGAGCAGCACGTAGGAAATTCTGCTGCTCAGCCTGGTGCTCTCCTGGCCGTGCTGCTGCCCACCCACCTGGGCAGCAGCAGGACTAGGACCAGGCACTGGCTGGGGGGGCAGGGACAGTGACTGCCCCGTCGCCTCGGGTGTGCTGACAAGGTATTTTGTGTCAGGGGGTCAGGATGTGGTGTCAGCACACGTATACACATCCTATAAAAAGAAAGCTGCTGCTGCTGCTGGCCCGTGGCCAAGGCAGGATGAAGGCTGCATTTACTCAGAGGCACAGAAGAGAGGTACAGCTCAGCAAGGCCAGCCCTAGCCCAGACCCTCCTGCGGCCTCGAGGACTGAGAAGCTAGGAAGCCACAGGCTGTGAGGGGTGTGCAGGGGTTGGAGGGAGCACTACTAACCCACCAGACAAGAGATGGATTGAGCAATGGCAGAAGCATCAGCTGATCCTTCACAGGAAGGCTGGAGGGGTGTGAGAAAGAAAAGCTGAGAATTACTCAGCTGGCACCAGCCTTGTAATTATTTCCTATCCCGGGAGTTCACTCCCAAGGATGGTAACTCCAGCTGGGACTCAGGAATCCAAGCTGGAGCAAGCAAGGTTTGGTGTACCCAGTAAAGGAGCTGGATTGAGCGATGTCAACAGTGTTTCCAGAAAAAGTCCAATGCCACTTGTGGAGCTGGACTTGCCCTGTGATAAAAATGCTGCAGATAGCACTGTCCACTGCTCTCTCTCTCTACCTGTATGTGTCTCTCAGGCATGGGAATTTCTAGCTGTGCACCTCCTACTTCTGTCTACACCACGGTGAATTGCATAGGACATTGCCTTGACCACTTGATCTATAGATATCAAGACTTATCTCCAGATCCCCTCTGTCCCTTCCCTGCTTGCCACACAACTCTTGCCCAGCCACAACCACATCATCTCCCAGGCCGCTGCCAAAAACCATGACCTGATACAGACAGTGTCAACCCAGCCCCAGGGATTTAACCAGCACTGCTTTCCAAGGCAGAGGGTAACTGCAGCAGCTTTCCCTAGCACAGCCACAGCTTCCCTCACTGCAGGCTCTGATGGTGCCTTCAGTCCCATGTCCCATCTGCTGCATCAGGGCTGTGCTCTCTGGAGACTCTTCTTATAATACCAAATGACTGCAAATGCTCTTCTCCACACCCCGAGCCCAAATAAATCACCCTTTGCTTTTCCACCCCTGCTTATTTCCAGTGCTATTCTATCCTGGCTGGAATGCTGGACACATGGTCCCCCTAAGGACCCTGCTGCACCAGCCTGAGATGGAACGTGGTGGGTACAACATCCTGAAACAAGGCCAGCCTGGAGACATAGCCCTGGTCCCCCCAGGGCAACCCAGCAGTGAGCAATCTTGGAGTGGCTGTGGTTGAGGTGCTGGAGCCAGGAGCCTGCCCAGGCACCGCCTGCACCCTCTGGACCCGCGCCTGCCGTCACTGTGCTGGCATGTCCTGTTGCTCCTCACATTCCACTCTTGCTCTAGCATTTTTGGGAGAAAATCACCCCTGGGTGACACAGGGTGTAGGCACAGGCTGCTTGGGATTTGCTGCTATGGTGAAACCTCCACGTTTAAACCTTTTCAAGGAGAGCTTTACCCCTCACTTTTAAACCTCAGCCTTGAACCGGAACTGACCTTCTGAAAAACCCAGACAAACCCTCTTTATTCACGATGACTAAAGCCCCTGTAAAAACAGCCTCTCCTGGTGAGTGTTTGCTTAGGGCAAGGCAGGCACAGAGCCTGTCCTTGAGGGAAGGAGCACAGGCTGAAGAGGGTGCCCTGAGCCTGCTCAGCTTGACCCACACTTTGCTGTCCTGCTCCCCCCATCCCACAGCAAATCCGTCTTAGCAAAAGGCTCAAGCAGTTTAACAAGACAGCTTCATTAGCCAGCCATGGGCCTGGGCTGGCCTGACAGGCTGGCCCAGCACTGCACAGGCCTCCTGGTTAGTCTTGCCATGTTGTGATCTGGTGTCCACAGCATCGCCCCAAGTTGCAGGAGGGACCATCCTGGGCAGGTGCATGGGTCCCTGGTGACACACAACATCCTTCCTGTGGCATGGGGCTCCTCAGCCCCTGCTTCCCAGCTGCCAGCAGAAACATTGGGGACACCCCCAGCAGGGGTCAGGGATGCTCACCCCAGCACTTGACCTGCGAAGAAGCAATACAGCTCCATCTCACCAGGCTTTCCCCTCCAGCCCCAAGCAGGGGAGAGGCATAGCAGCCCCAGCACATGGCAGCCTCACCAGCAGGAGAAAATGGATTGGGACAGGGATAAGGCAGAACAAAACTTGAAAGAATGAGAGGAATAATCACAGAGCTCCTCAGCTTTAACAGCAAACCAGAATTAGTTACTTTCTTGTGAGGATTTTTTGGCTCTGCTCCCTTTACTCTGGGCTTCTTACTTTTATCTTGTGAAGTTCCTAAACTGAAATATTACCAGAAAAAAACCAAACTTATTTTAAATTACATTATCTTACCTATCAGAGAGAAGGAGACGGGGTGAACAAAAGGTTCACAGAAAATACTATTTTCTCTCAGTACTTTCACTTTCCATGAAAAAATAGTCCTATTTCCTCAAAAGCACTTTCACAAGAATCTTTCAACTGGTTCTAATCAATAGGGTTAGGGTTTTTTTTAATCATTATCTTGGCAGAACCTCTAATTTAACAGCTTAATTAAATTTGCATACCAAGATGCTGTGTCTTGCCACATCCTTGCTGTCCCATAGTTGCTCCTCTCTTGCTGCCTTGGCTGGTGCATGTGGGACAGCCCAGCTCCTGTGGGGCTTCCAGCTCCTGCGCAGCTGGGTCTGTGGACCAGCTCAGATCATTCAGCACCTCGAGAAGGACAATTCTTGGCCAAGATGCCCCCGAGGGAGCAGGCGAGGGGCAAGGAGGGCACACCCCTGCCTGCAGCCCTGGGGCCGAGGTGAAATTCCTTCATCCCATGGCCCCTGGCTGCCCCGAACCCCTCCCAGAAGGGCCGGGGGCCACTGACCATTTCTCTGCTGGTTATTAGATTGTTCACGGCTCTCAGGTTTGTTTGAATAAGCCCTTTTGTTTGCCGGCGCTTTCCCACGTCCCCCCGTTCGCTCGGCAGTCGCGTGTCCCGAGTCAAAGAGGAGCCCCGGCCGCCAATCCCCAAAGAAAGTTTTCTTCGGAGCAAGACATCTGCGTTGGAGGGAACCTGCCAACATCTGCCACACTTTCCCCCTTTTCAAGAGCCTTTCTTTCCCTCTTAAAAAGTGCAGGAACAGATGTTAAAAGTTGTTTTCTTTCTCCAGGGTGTGAAATGTAGACAAATAGCAAAAAAGAAAACTCCAAGCAGCACTGACCCCTTTCTCTTTCTCTTTCCTTTTTTTTTTTTTTTTTTTTCCAGGAGACGGGGTGAACAAAAGGTTCACAGAAAATACTATTTTCTCTCAGTACTTTCACTTTCCATGAAAAAATAGTCCTATTTCCTCAAAAGCACTTTCACAAGAATCTTTCAACTGGTTCTAATCAATAGGGTTAGGGTTTTTTTTAATCATTATCTTGGCAGAACCTCTAATTTAACAGCTTAATTAAATTTGCATACCAAGATGCTGTGTCTTGCCACATCCTTGCTGTCCCATAGTTGCTCCTCTCTTGCTGCCTTGTCTGGTGCATGTGGGACAGCCCAGCTCCTGTGGGGCTTCCAGCTCCTGCGCAGCTGGGTCTGTGGACCAGCTCAGATCATTCAGCACCTCGAGAAGGACAATTCTTGGCCAAGATGCCCCCGAGGGAGCAGGCGAGGGGCAAGGAGGGCACACCCCTGCCTGCAGCCCTGGGGCCGAGGTGAAATTCCTTCATCCCATGGCCCCTGGCTGCCCCGAACCCCTCCCAGAAGGGCCGGGGGCCACTGACCATTTCTCTGCTGGTTATTAGATTGTTCACGGCTCTCAGGTTTGTTTGAATAAGCCCTTTTGTTTGCCGGCGCTTTCCCACGTCCCCCCGTTCGCTCGGCAGTCGCGTGTCCCGAGTCAAAGAGGAGCCCCGGCCGCCAATCCCCAAAGAAAGTTTTCTTCGGAGCAAGACATCTGCGTTGGAGGGAACCTGCCAACATCTGCCACACTTTCCCCCTTTTCAAGAGCCTTTCTTTCCCTCTTAAAAAGTGCAGGAACAGATGTTAAAAGTTGTTTTCTTTCTCCAGGGTGTGAAATGTAGACAAATAGCAAAAAAGAAAACTCCAAGCAGCACTGACCCCTTTCTCTTTCTCTTTCCTTTTTTTTTTTTTTTTTTTTTTCCACAGAAAGCCCAGGAAAAAAGGGAGGCTTTGTTTATGAAGGAGAATCCCCTTTTCAGCGAAACCTGGCAGTGGGCAATGCAGAAGGAAAGCAGGAATTTGCAGAAAGCTCCTTTTAATGCTCATTTGCATTGGCCTGTTGGGTCCCTACAATCCAGGGCACAGATGTCAGCCTCCCCCCCAGAGCCTGGGCAGCTTTCCTGCCCACACCCCCACCCCCAAAATAAAGGCCTTTGCCCTGACTGAGAGGTGTAAGATGACTGTTTACAGCAAGAGCTGCTCTTCTTTTTCACCATGGTGCTGCCTTACAAATGAACCTTGCAATGAGCTCACCCGGAGCAGAGGCCAGAGGCTGCTGGGGGTCTTGTCCCACTGAGGCTCAGCTGCCCTGCATGGGCTGGGCACCAACCATGGCTGGGTGCCAGGGCCACCAGGCTGTGCTCAGCCCCCCATCACACCTCTCCATCCCCAGTACCCACTGCCTGGTCACCAACATCCCCCTGCCCAGGGGGCAGCTTTGGTGGAAGCTGCTTTGCAGGGGAAGCCTGTGTGCAGCCTTCTGGCAGAGCAGCCCCCTGCTTAGGAGCAGTGGCACCTCGCAGGGGAAGGACAGTGGGAGGGAAGGTAAGGCAGGAGAAGAAGAAGGCACTGCCAGCCTCAACCACCCAAGCAAACTGCCCAGAACCAGGAGTGTGCCTGCTCTGTGCCCTCCTACCCACGTGCAGGGCAGAGCCCTACCCCAACCCACCCACTGTCTCTCCCCCGCCAAACTGCTGAGACCTGTGGCAATGCAGATACCTCAGCCACACCTTTTATAAATACCAGCAATGCTCTGCTCCCCCGAGTGGGATGGAAAAAGCTTGAAAAACAAAAGGAATCTTTCACTGGTGAGCTGTCTGGGCTGGTTGACAAAAGGGGCTCCCTCACAGGGTGGTGGGACCTCCTTCTGCTGTCTGTGGGGGGAAAGCACCTGAGATAAAGGAGCCCATCCCTGCTCCTTTCACGTGGCACAAAGGACACATTAAAATCATTCCCCTCCCAAGCCCTCCTGTCCCAGCAGAACCATCACACCAGCCCATCTCAGGCCCTTTCCAAGTAGGGTGCTTATAAAACAGTGTAACTGCGTCTGACTGACAAACCACCCCTGCCTGTGAAATACCATGTCTGGGGACATGTTTTCACGAGGAGCCCAGGCAGCAGGGTGTACAGACACGCTGCAAGGATGTTTGCATTGACATACAGGCAAACACACACCCACGCAGCAGTTAAGCAAGGAACGTGATGTCCTCGATCTCTTTATCGCTGGGGCACTTCCCCACCCAGGGCTGGGAGGGAAGGAGGGGCCTCTGCAGCCCCAGCCTTGTGCTGGGAAATCCCACCGGTGGGTCAGGATGGCTTCTGAACCACTGTGGCCCCTTCCTCTCCATTTCAAGAAGGTGATACATTTGACACCTACCCAAAGGGCTTCACCTGCAGAACTCAACAGGACACTGCCAAATCCTGCTCATTAGCAAAGCAACCATCAGAAAGCAAAAGCAGAGTAATGAAAAATGCCTTCATACTCCCCTCCAGACCAGGCAGAAGTGAGGAAGCATAAAAGTGCATTCTAATCCTGTGCCAAGTCTCCACCAAAGGCCCATCTGCTTCTGCACTAGCATTTCAGAGGAGCTAACAGAAAAACACCCCTCCCTCCAAAGCCACCCAAACCTCCTCACAGCATGGGGAAAAAAAAATATCAAAGAAGTACAAAGCCCACAGAACTAACTCACCCCTAAGTTCCTCTGCATCTATACATTTAATATTAAATTCTACACAGCAGCCAGAACTAGATTTGTGTATTTCCTCCATCCAGCCATGTGAAACCAAGAATTCAGGTTCCCAAGAGGTAAATAAAGTTCCTGTGTTTTCCCTGGAGGATTTCTGTCATGGAAAACAATATTCCTACAGGCGTCTGCTGTCAACAGTTTTTAATCGATCATCATTACCTGGTAATAATTCCTGGGAGCAGGAACTCATAGCTCGTGTACTCTATTATGAAATTAAGAGTCTGCTTCACGATGTGAACTGCCTGGGTCTTGGGTTAGCAGGTAAGAAGAGACACTGCTTCAATGAGGTCGAGGAGGGGAAAAAAAATAAATGGGTGGAAGGCATTTTCCCAGGTGTAACTCAACCGCTTCCCAGCTATTGTTTCCCTCCCTGGGAATCTGTGCAAATTGAGCGAGGAGCCCTGCAAGCTGCTCAGAGCGCGCCCATTTTCCTTCCCTTCTTCCCTAACAAAAGAGCCCTGCGAGGCCCGGCGGCGGGGCCGGACATCTGTCGCCGTTCGGGGGGGCCGGCGTGGCCATTGAAAAGAAGCAGTGACCTGTCAGCTTTGATTGATGGCCGCAAACCCCCGGGCTCGACCCCTTGTGTGGGAAAAGAAGTCCCGCCAAGGAAAGTCCCCTTTCACATGCAAATTCTGGGTTATAAATACAGCAGCCGAGAGCCCGTCTGGGGAAAGGGAGCGCCCCGCGGCCCGAGCGCCTCCTTCACGGCCCCATCGTCCCGGCACC